AATCGTGCATATGGGCTCTTTGTGGCCTTCTCTGTGGTTGGCTTTGATATGATTGTCATCAGTGTATCCTATGTGATGATTTTGAGAACTGTTCTGGGGTTGCCTTCTGGTGAAGCCCGGCTCAAGGCTTTTGGCACATGTGCGTCCCATATCTGTGTCATCTTGGCTTTATATATCCCTGCCCTCTTCACTTTTCTCACCCACCGCTTTGGACATCATGTGCCCCGAGCAGTACATATCATGTTTGCCAATCTCTATCTCCTGGTTCCTCCCATGCTCAACCCCATCATCTATGGAGTTAGAACCAAGCAGATCAGGAACAGGGTTATTCAAGGTTGTTGTGGAAAAGATCCCTGAGCCAAGGGTCATGGCAACATAGCCAACCCACGCCCCACCCCCCACACTGATCCAGGAACATATAGATGCAGAAAGTTTGCCAGGCCAGCACAAAGTCTTTTCTGTGAACAAAAGGTCCAGAGGTTAGCAACCCTCTAGAGGAAAAGGACCAATTTTTAGAATGCCCATAAAAGCTCTCTGGGAAATGTGATTGATCATTAATCCTGAGTTGACCAATGCCCAAAACACAATAAAATATTAAAATAATAAAAAATATGTCCACCTATCAAATTAGTGAAGATTTAAAAAGAATGCTATCTTCCACAGATCACAAAGTTGAAAATACTTTTAAACTGTCAGTAGAAGTATAAGTTGGTATACCTTGTTAAAAAGGTGATTACAAACTTCCACCAAAACAGGGGCACATGGGGGTTCAGTCAGTTGAGCATTCACCTCTTGAATTTGGCTCAGGTCATAATTTCATGATTCCTAGGATCCAGTCCCACATAAGGCTCCATGCTGACAGTGCAGAGCCCGTTTGGAATTCTCTCTCTCCCTCTCTGTGCCCTTACCCCCCTCACACATGTGCTCTCTGTCTCTTTCTCGCTCTCTCAAATATAAATAAATAAATAAATAAACAAACAAACAAACAAACAAACTTAAAAATTGTTTTCCCACCAAAACAGTTAAAAAGTGCATATTTTTCCTCACATGGAATCTCTTTTATAAAAATAGAATTTGAGGATCACCTGGGTGGCTCAGCTGGTTAAGCCTCCAGCTTTTGATTTCAGCTCAGGTCGTGATCTCACAGTTCATGAGATAGAGCCCACATCAGGCTCTGCACTGACAGCACAGAGCCTGCTTGGGATTCTCTCTCTCCCTGCTCTTTCTCTGTCCCTCCCTTCTCTCTCTCTCTCCCTGTCAGAATAAATGAATAAACATTTTTTTAAAAAATAGGATTTTATTTTATAAGTAAAAAAAATGTATAGATTCATTATTTATAAAACAAAAAAAGAGGAAAACATTCATATATTGATCTATAAGACCCAGATGAAGACAGAGCAACTGAATATCATATATCATTTAACTAATGTATTTGCAAAGAATATGTAAAGATGTAAAAAAAAATGGACAAGATAGAATATTAAAGAAAAAAGAAAAATAACATTTGCCCATAGGGGTGATACCAGTTCTGAAAAGAAATACATAAGCATAGAAAAAGACTCTGGAAATTAATCCAAATACTAATAATAGCAACTCAGAGGAGTGAGAGATTTATGACATTCTAATTTTCTTTCTGCATTTTAATGTATTTAAAAAAATTTTTAATGTTTATTTATTTTTGAGACAGAGACAGAGAGACAGAGTGTGAGCAGGGAAGGGGCAGACAGAAAGGGAGACACAGAATCTGAAGCAGGCTCCAGGTTCTGAGCTGTCAGCACAGAGCCCTACGTGGGGCTCGAATTCACCAACTGCGAGATCATGACCTGAGCCAAAGTCAGACGCTTAACCAACTGAACCACCTAAGTGCCCCAAATTATTTTTTAAAATTATCCTTGGTTGATGAGATTTAATTTAGTATGAGAAAAAGGTAATTGAAACAACAACAGAAGTGTACAGAAAAGGTTAATTCAGTGCCAAACCCTAGGGGAACGGAGGGGACAATCTAAAAAGATGAAAGACTCCTGAATAGGATAACTTCCCAAAAAGCTTGAAAATCCAGATATGAAATTGGTGCCAGAATACAACTTTCAGAGACCAGTAACCATGAGTATTAGGTATGCTGAGTGTTGGTCTTTCCTTACAAAAATTTCCTATTCCCAGATGACAATGGATTTCAGAATGAAGAAGTTGTGGAAAAGAATGCAAAAGATCTTCTTCTGAGGATAACTATATTTATGGTTAAGGGAATGAGAAAGTCACAAAGAGTTTTAGTATTTGTAAATATTTAATTTCCTTTTAAACTAAAATTTCAAGTTATTTTAGAAAAACGTATTTTGCTTACTTTTTCTTAGTCTTTCAACTTTATAGAGTATACTTATAAAATAGGTATACATATTTATTAATACATCAATATATACATTTATATGAGTTTGGATATATGCATGCATACATAATACCATCACACAAACAAGGTAAAAGACATCCAATACAATTGTTGCATTGGTCTTTTTATCATCCTGCACACTCTCCCATCAAAGCCAACAGTGAAGAGGGTCTAGGAACTCAGGCTTTTATGATACGAAAACCAACATCAGTTGAAAGTACTTTAAGGAGAATCAGAAACATGTTTGCTTCCCCCAGAAGAAACACTATTGGAGACTAAAAGTGTCCCCAGAAATGAATAAGTATTCTGAAAGAGCATTTTCATGATTCCCAAATTTTAGGGTTGTCAAGGGACTGTGATACTGTTATCAGCAAATCAGTTAGTGATTGTGAGTGCCTCTTCCTCTTTTTAAAATCAGCTTTGTTGTTGTATAACTTGTGACAATAAAATGTAAGTATTTTAACACACAGTTTGAAAAGTACTGACACATATAAATGCCTCTGTAGCTACCAGCCCAATTAACACATAGAACATTTCCATCACTTCAGAAAAGTTTCTCTTGCCTCTCTGGAGTCAATCACCACCTCTGTACCCAAACCAGGAAAACCCTGATCTGATTTCATTCACTATAGATTAATTTCTCTCTCACTAAAACTTTCATAAATGAAATAATAAATAATACATTCTTTCGAGTCTGGTATCTTTCATTTGGTATAAATATTTTCAGATTCAGTCATACTGTTGCATTTTTTATAAGTAATCCATTTCCTATTATTGTTAAGTAGTATATTCTGTTTTTTCAACATACCAGTTTTTACCTTTTTCCAATGCTTCTGCCCTTTCTATTCTTCCTCGAAATACATTCACTTCTTTTTTTTTAACTTTTTTTTTACTTGTATTAAGTTTTCAGAGACAGAAAGAGCGCGTGAATGGGGGAAGGACAGAGAGAGAGGGAGACACAGAATCCGAAGCAGGCTCCAGGCTCTGAGCTATCAGCACAGAGCCTGACGTGG